TGTCCAAGCAAATTTCATAATTAGCGTTGCACGGTCTTCGGCGGCTACTGTATGTGCTAAGGTGGGTCAGTAAATGCTGCCAGAAAATGTGGTAGATGCTACCGGTTTTTAAAAGTCGGCAAGTCCGCGATCACTGTTTTCGGGCACAGAGTAAAAGAAAATGTAAACTTTATTTGCCTATTTGGCTGAAAAAAGGAATACACGTTATAATTTCTGCTAAAGCGTTTTTGACTACGAAACAAGAGAGTGTCACGGAATATCACGCACTAAATCCGCTAGAGTAGCTACGAGCATGCTACTAATTTGAACACCTGTACATCAGTAAAGAAGGTCAAGTTAGGTGAACACATTTTAAGTCAAGAATGCTGGTATGTCCTGACCGTGAGGACACCGAGTGCTGGCTTCTAGCTAGACTGACATCAGTCCCCTAATCGATCTCTAGGAGCGGCAAGTTCGAGTGAAACCGACCGCGGAGAAAACCATACACAGAAGATACAGTGCCACAGGCCTACCGTCTACTGCAGACAACATGCACGTATCGCATTAGTTAAGAAACAGAAGCAGGCTAAGAGCAGCTTATTTAACGCAGGTTGTGAGCCGACTTGGGTCGGACAAAAGCAACGACCACGCCCGTATTCAACCCTTGCTGTCGCCAAAAAAAACACGTTTTTGCTGGAGCAGATGTAACTTCCTGTCTCACCAGTGACGTGGGGAGAGCGCGGGGGAACAACACCTCCAATGTCAGCGAGCCAGATGACCGAGTAATTATCACGCCATCAACATCTGACACGGATGATGAAATTGTGGCAATTAAAAATCCAGACCACCATCGCATGAATTACGGCCCCCAACCCACAACGCGAGAGCTGTCGTCGTGTGACCAGTACAGGCTATAAATACTGGCTTATCTGCGACTGCCTCTGATGATGGGTTCGAGCGAGAACCCGAAACATCAGGTCAATAAACTTCTTGTTCCAGCGATCGCATCTTCTTCTTCTGAACAGCTTCCTGGAGTTCGCCTGCTCGCTCCATTCAACTAGAGCAGTAGTACTAGTAGACACCTGCGTCCCCTCCAAGTCTTCTTGACTGAGTCATTAAACCGGGCTAAGATAGAGGAGGGGAAGAGAGTGCGGTAGATGCAGAGCAAGTCTACTCTGCGTCAAATTTCTGTAGGCACACGGGGGACATCGTCGAAACCGACGGTCGAACTGTCGTGCTCAAGTATTACAGTCCACCAAGGAAGCATAGGATATACATCGTAGGCAACCGTTTATTGCCGTTTGATGTGGCCTAAGGCGATTGTCACACAGAGAAGTGGCGTCGGTTGTCTACAAAGCAATGGTGAAGAACATACCCGCCTAAGCGGACAAACTTGCGGGCGCACATTAAAGGACCTAGCCACACTTCTGACCCCTCAAGGAATGACCATCCTAGGCAGCGGAAGCTGAAAGATTTAACGACTCGCACTGCAGGCGTCAGTTCCGTTAATGGACACAAGGACCTACTGGGAATCATCGAATGTTTGCCGAGGAAACACGCCGTAAATAGTTAGCCCTCAAAACAGGCATGGGCTCAAGGTTCAGAAATTGGCCATTAGTGTGCTACACTATTGCACCCATTTCTTTTTGAACGGGTACGGAGCCGAAATCCTCGCAGCTCCGTCAGTCAGCCGCAGAAGACTGGCAAAGCAATTGTTGTGGCTTACGCTAAGGTGTAGTTCTCAAATATGATGAAGGGTTACGTTTCGAAAAACGAGAGTTTCACATTACGAGCTCGGTGCTGGAACGGATTCAACGTGTTAACCGAGGTTCCATTGTAGTAGTAACCACATTCGCCCCCTCCAGCCACCGGTCGTCTTGACTTATTCATCACGGACGGCTGGGCGGCTATCCACCTCCGAGGGTCACTCGCTGTACTCTGGCTCAACTGCGCAGTGGCTACTCAATGGACCTTCGCCAGTACCAACACCGGCTTGACCCGTTCATACCCAACTGCG